TTTATAATGTTGCTTCTGTTAAAAAAATTAAAAAAACAGGGAGGAAATTTGCCCCACTCCTTGCTAAAATGTGGCTCAGTCCAAGAATGTGAAACCTGAAAGTGACTAACTTGGTTAATTTAGGTCTGTTGGATATTTAAAATAAAACTTTAGTTACTTTGAGTTAATTGTGAGCTTAACTCAATAGTTGTTCTCAGTTATGTACTGTTACGTCCACCAAGGGCACAACATATTAACGGAGGACATGAGACACAAATATGGGTTCAAACATTCAATATATTATGCAGCTTCCTGCAGGGAAAAAAAAAAAGATTATAATGAGCCCCTAATTCCTGTGTCCACCTAAATAAAAGACACAAAACCCAAAGTACAAACTTAAAGGAGGACCTGGTGATCCGGTCAAACCAAACAAAAAGGTACAGCAGCGGGCCAACTCTATACAGGGCCGTCGAAGCCGCTGCTGATACCAGACTAGAGCTACAAAAAACAAAAACAAAAAACACCTATTACAAAAGGAAGAGTGAAAACAGGACTACCGGTCCCACCAGGCCAAAACCACTACCAAAATAAAAAAATATACAAAAAGGTAACAAATTTTACCAGTGGTAGTGGAAGCTGCCAGCTGCAGGCCACAGCTCTGGATCAGGACAAAACAAACAAAGACTCCTGAACACCCAGGGTGACCTAGAAAAAGGTCCAAACTAAAAAGGCCCAAAAGGGAGAGCGCTTCTGAAAGGTCCAAAAATGTGGGGGCATGAGCGAGTTCACAAACAGAGTGAGTCTGAGGGTGCATTCATGCCAGCCCTGTTGTCCCGAACTCTAGCCTTTTTGCCTAAGAAGTCCGGTTCATTTGGGGAGGTGTGAACGCGCCCTCCATCGAACTCTGTCCCGCCTGAAAACCTAGGTCTCGGTCCGGTAGAAGAGAACTCCAACGCGGTTCGAGTACAGTGTGAATGTAAACAGACCGGGCACCGCTCCGCAAGCAGGAAGTCGAGTACAACGCAGGGCAAACAAACACGCATTTCTCTTACCTCATATGGAGCCGTCAGCTTGACTTGTGTGAAAAACAACATTCTCCATGGTCTTCTGCCTCATCTTCCGCTCACGCTGAGTCCATTGTTGAAAAACGACAAATCAGAACTCCTAAAACTGCTAAAATTTGACACCACTCCGTTTTTGTTTTTATTTCCAGAAGAAGAATAAGAAGTGTCTTCAGAGTTTGTTTTTTTTGTCGTTTCTTTCAGTAGTTCTTGGTGTAGCGCCCCCACAGGCGAGCGGGGGAACAGGATGTTTTGAGCAGGTTGGCTCGACTGCACAGTGCAGTGTGAATGCAAACGCACCAGCTCAAATGTAAACAAAATGTCATGAATATTGGTCCCCAACCGAACCAAGTCTACTGGACTATCAGGTGTGAAAACATTCACAAAAGAGCGAGCTCCCTGAAACCAGCCTAAACAATTAAAGGCTGATTAGCCAACCCAAAACCTGTCCAAAGGGACAAAATAATAAGGCCAATGTGCCCCAGGCACATAAAATGTACAAATAGTGATAAAGATCATTCCTGTGCTTTCAAAGTTTTCTACATTTTTGCAGAGATCACACATTTTCTGTATCAGATAGGGATTTAAGCTACTTTGCTTTAATGTCACATCTTTGCACAGCAGCCGCCTGATATCTGTCAGTGACTCACCAGAAAACGCAGAGTGACAGTCGTAAACAAGTAAGTTTTCAGGACACAATTCACTTTGAAACAACAAGACGCGCTTCTCTGCGCAGGATTATTTCACTTAAAGCAGGCCATGGAAGTGAATTTAGAACAGGTTGTAACCATAAACATAAATCTGACTCCAAATTCTTATACCGACATGTTTCAGTGCTATTTGTCGTATTTCAGAAGTGAAGAGGAGTCGTGAGGAAAAGTTCAACACTATTTATTAAACCCTACAGAAACAGTTTCAGAAACAGAGGCATTTTTCAGAGATCTCTGGGGTTCAGTATGCTTTCCTTAACCAACAACAGCACCCTGCGCCAGTCTCCAACAGACTGAACACTGCTGTCTTTCCCTGACTGGAATCTAAAGGAAAATGTAGGTAGATTCTGGTTGCATCTCTTAGATGGAGCCAAATTCTTTCAGCATGCACGATACACCTGTAAGTCATCCCCGTGAGCTTATGATGTTTATTATTACCTGCAAAGCTGGAAAGAATCAGAAAGGAAATCAAAAGAAGAACAACGACATCTCCCCTGTCCACACCAGTTTAACAGAAAGAAATCATCCCAACAACCTAACTTCTTATCTTATCTTTGTTTCACAACAATAGAACACCTTCCCAGAAAATAACAACATTCCAAACCCTTTAGTCTAGTTTCAGCACTCAAAGACAGGTGACTCTAAACATTCCATCTATACCAAGAATCCTGAGGATCCTGCTGAACTCAGGACTCTCTGTAGACATAAATGGGTTTGTCAGTATAAAACATTTCATAATTACTTCTATACGGTTATAGTTTATAGTAGAACAGTAAGCAGTATAACAGAATCTATCAGAAGTTAGAGTAACATGCAACAAATGAAACGTATAGAAACTCTTGTCTCTCCAGGGAGACGATCCGGCAGCTCTGTTATTATCTGGGAGGCATGGTTTGGATCCACCAGCGGAAAAGGTTGCTGCAAATCAAATTAGTTTTGAGTGATCACCTTTATCCAGTGAGAAAACCTTTCTAGCCTAACCGTTTTAGTGGTCTCCTTAAATGCCGTAAGGCTGCAGGGGCTTAAAGAATGGCTTGATGAATAGAGAGTTGATGCGGCTGGTCAGGCTTTCACTGACACCAGATATCAACCCAATTAAAAACTCATGGGAGGTCTTACTTAGTTAGAGTTGGGGTTCACTTCAACTGGAAAACTCAAGATGATGGGGGATAAAAGGATGGACCATCTTGTGATTTCTCCTTAAACGCCAACATTTTGCGACATTTTCCAAACACATCTCAACTCTGAATTATAGAACTTAGTTTGCTTTACAACTTTTATCATACAAGTTGTGGGCAAACTCTTATCTAAAATCACCTTGATGTCCATTTTCTTGGTTACCAGGATGGCAATATTCTCCAGATGGAGATAAAACTTGAGCATCTTGTTGTTAAGCTGCACATAGTTGTTGTGTATGTGCTGCAGCTGCTAGAAGACCCAAGAGATGTTAGGATGGTTTTGTCACGGTATTATGGAGGATTGAAGTAAGGAGAGCCGAGGACCATAAGAGATTATTTGTGTCCCCGCTGTGTAATCTGTCTAATCCAACGCTGGATGGGTTGGGATTACATTAGGAGAAGACGCTGCGGTTAATGAGCTCCCTTTTTAATATTCTTGTGACCCACTAGCATGGATTTAAGAGGCAGATTAGAAAACTGATTACCGGGATCATCTGATGTGCTGTGCGTTTGTGTTGTGAGGTGACCATACGGATAACAAGTTTGCCTGTGCGTGTCTATTGTGTTAGCAAAATATCTCATGAACCACATGTATGTTATCGAAACTCTCATAGGTAATCAAAGATGAACCACAACCTTTGGAGTCAACTCAGTTGGAGATAGCCGACTCACCTAGTTGACCTTATTGAACACAAAAATTCATGCAACTCTGTCGTTCATGCAGATATTTAGCTAAAATGTTGGTGTGCTTGTAGCTGAGAGTCATCCTCATAAAACAACTCTAACTCGTCATTTTTCTACATCTAAATATAAAACTCTGGCATGAAATATGGCGGGCGATATGCATTCCTTTAAGAAGCATTGAGTTTTTTTAATTTTTATTTAGTGCATTCTGCATCTCTGTGGTGAGTCAGGACCAATTAAGTGCAGTGTCAGATTTTTGGATGCTGCCAAGGCTCTACGCTCTCTCTCTCTTGTTGGCGTTGCCATGGTGAAGCGTCCACAGTGATGTCACTCGCTGAGGCCTCCAGAGACAGAGCCACCATGACCCACCCTAAGCCCCCCGCCTCTCTGTGTCATCTCCCCGCCGCTATGTGTGTCTGGTAACAATCCCACTTAGTTTCCCTTGAAGCAGCTGCCTGTGTGTTTCAGCTCGTAATGAGCTGCAGTCTTTTTAGTGACACATCATTACATCCGGATGCACACACAGGTAGCGTTTATGCCAACATTTCCACCACGAGAAGAGGATTGTCTCCAGAGAGCCTGGTGCAGTAATATATGGGGGGGGGGGGGGGGGGGGGGGGGGGGGGGGGGGTATGTGGCATAATGTAGGAGGAATTATAGGTGTGAACATGCATCTATCAGGGATGTGTGAACGCGCGGCTTTGAAAAGCTTCACACGTCTTCTGTGCCTCTCATCTTTTCTCATTCATCATCTCATCTTTTTAATTTTCTCCCCTCCTTCCCACTCCCCCCCCCCCCCCCCCTCACTTTCTCTCACTCCCCCTGGGCTTGTGAACATTGTCTCAGCAGCGGAGCTAAGGGGTGGACGAGGGGGGGCTCAGCCATCGAATGGGTGGGTGGGGTTTCTGCCCAGCAATTCGACAGCACTCCTCTCAGCTTTTAGCCTGTAAGCATTCAACCTCCCCACCCCACCCCAGCTTCCCACACCCTCTCTCCCCTCTCTCCCACTGGTCCACCCTCCCCCACCCACTCTCCTTTCATCGGCAGGCAATGAGGTAATCCCTCGCAGAGCGCGAGGAGCGACAGAAGCCGGTGCAGGGCAGAAGCAGGGAGGATGTCAGGAGCTGTATCATCTCTCCCTGTTATCAGTGGCAGCTGTTAGCGGCTTGCTCGAATGTATAATAGCTGATGCTGCAGGCTGCAGCTCTGCAGTTCTTATCTGTTGGTGCTGGCACAATGTTCAGGTGCTTTTAAGAGGGGGCCAGGCAGGGGCGGGACAAGGCTGTGGCTGGTGTTTGGACCCCGGGAGGAGAGAAGACAGGAAAGAGAAGAGGTGAAGTAGAAAGAAGGGGTAAGGTTTGGGTTGAGATTAGAAGGGTGTACCCACCATGACAGAGCGGTGCAGTCTGTGGAGTGCCCTGTCGGCTGCAGCATGCTGCTTCTACAGGGGATCCTTCATGCAGGTGCAGGTGAGTGTTTTCCCTGGCAGACATATGCACGCTCTGATTCCTTTCTCCTTACATTCGACTCACTTGTGCACGTATCTGTGTGTTTGGCTCCTCTGCTGTCCTGGCAGCCGGTAATGTCAGCCCGTCTCGTAGTTGGCAGACTGATGATATCACACTCTGTACATCATTGAAGTGTCAGATGGACTGTGTGAAAACAGTGTGTGGAGGAAGAGAGGGGTCTGGGAGTTTGTGTATGTCTGATAGAAAGGTAAATTAATGTTTGTGTAAGGTGTATGAGAATTTGAGCTACTAAGTGAAGGGCACATTGGAGGGAAGCACAAAGTATCCTCTGGTATCAGCTTTACTTATGGTCTAAATCTGGCTCGAAGCTTGAAACCCAATATCTGACCTTATTCTTGGAGAAAATGACACCTTAAATGTGTTTTGTCCGTGCTTTTTACAGCTTGGTTAAAGTTTTATCTTGTTTCTGACTGTGTCTTGAGTGAAAAGGATGCAGAGCTGTGTTAAGAACAAAGCACTAATCCTGTTTGGTTCTGACTTGTCCCGCCTCGTCTCAGGACATTTCATCATCTAGCTGAGGCGTTCAGTGTCTTCACTTTGTTTGGCTGTCGTATGTCTTAAAACAAATGCTTGTTTTCAGGTTTTCATTCGCTTCCATTTAACGTGAAGAGGTTTAAAGCTCAGCGTAATGAAGTTATTTTTTAATTCAATCTGTTGGTTACTGTGCAGTGGGGTTTGTGGTAGCGTGAGTGAGAGGAGCATGAACTAATTACCAGTCGCTGAAGAGTTAAATGGAAAGATATCTTAATTTACACCAATTTGGTTTTGTTTGCAAACACTGTGGTTTTCTTTTTAGACTAATATTTATTTGTCAATCTCTTCTAATTAAACAGCCTGTCGAGCACAATACAGTGAAGAGAGAAGCTTTAATCATTCTTTCATTCAAAGCCATGATGATTTTTCCCCCTGTCTTTGCCTCCGGGGGAATAATAATCTGGCAGAATTTCTATACACTTTACAGTTTTTCTTTGACGCTTGCAGTGGGAGAGGCTGTCTTCTCTTATCAAAAAGAGAGAGAATGCAATAAAGCTATAGTGACAGGCTCTGTTGTGTGTCTGAACTGACGAGTCATTTTACCATTTTGATCCATATGTCTCTCCCCTCCTTTGGTAGACGTGAAGTTTATCTTGTTTAAGCTGTCACACTTTTATATGGGGATGATTTAATTGCTCAGGTGTGGTTTCAAGTCATTTCAGTCATCATTACAGCACAATTGCGGTGTAAATATTTGGCTTTTGCAAGTTTGTCTGTGTTTTCTCAGTTCTGTCCTGATGAAACATCAAATGCAGGCCCTCCAATCCATTTGAAATGTTGTTACTTTGTCAAATACAACTCAAACAGACTTTGTTCGTTTCATTAACCTGTAAAGTTTCCTAAAGCAGGCAGCACAGTAGATGCTGTTGTCACATCTTTCCCATAATCCTGAGCCCAGGTTGCGTCAGGATGGGCATCCATCAGTCTTTTACGTGAGTTCACTCGCGGAGGTGACCCCAGCAGAAGGGCGCGGTTCAGTGAAAAACAACTTGTTGGTTGGGTTTAGGCAATGACTTGGAGATTATGGTTTGTTACATCATGTTGTTGCCCTGCTGAGAAGACAATGTTATGTCAGAACAGATGTTTTCGTGGCAGGAAAACTAAAAGGTGGAGATTATTCTTACTCTTCGACTTCCAAACTCATACACAGCTTTTCTCCTGACCAATAGAAGTTACAGATTCTTAAAAACACACTTAGAAGTCATAATGAAGAAAGAACCCATGAGGTCATTTTATGGAGGAGGCTTGTCTCAAGTAATGGCAGGAGTTTTTTGGTGAAGTATTTGAGTGTTTTCTTGAAATCACTTCATTCAGCTGATGATTGATACAACGTGAAGAAGTTAAGCAATCCACTGTCTAAATACAGCGAATCAGATTGTTTTGATTTGGACTGTATCTCACTTTGAAGAGTTTGAATGAGAGTCCGAGTGTATAGGACTGGAAGAAACTGAATTGAATTAGAGCTGGTTTCTGGTAAAGCACATATTCTCTGCAAAGGGAAGAAAAAAATTACCTGATCAAGCATTGACTTTTTGTTTGTTTGCTTGTTTGTTTTATGACAAATTTGTTGATGGCTTCTTTAGTTTATTGCGATTTTGTTATTGTCGTTGAAAATCTTTGTATTTTAGTTACATTTCTTGTTTAAACTGTCTTAAGGACGACAAACCTTTTTCTGAACCACTTTGGCCTTGGTTGTCTTCAGGCTGTTTCTGTGAGTAGCAAGCTGGCCACCTGGCATAAAACATTTGATTGTTGTTGATGATGATTGCTGGTTTTGGATGGGTGTTCTCTGTTTGCACATGTTAAAAGCCTATTCTGAGATTCCAACAAGATTCCAGCAATTTCAAAGTTGGCTTGAAACCAGCGGCTTTGAATGTTACCAGCCCATTAAATGACCATTATTAGTTGTTATCATCCCCATACGTTGCGTTCAGACGGTCCCTATTGTAGCTCCTAGTAGGTTTAAAGGTACGTTCTTATCGCTGATAATATGCAGCTTCGCCGTGTCTAAAACCGGAAGTTTTTTTGTTGTTAGCTTTATTGAACCCTTTTCCTAAACCTAATCTTACACCTGACCCTGAGCACTGACCCTAAACTTAAGACCCTGACTCTTGACCTTTAACCTAACCCTGACCCTATTATCAGCAATAAGAACATACCTTTAAACCTGCTAGGAGGTAGAGGAAAGACAGTCTGAACACAACCTATGGGGATGATAACAACTAATAATGGCCATTTAATGGCTGATAACATTTAAAGCGGGTGTTTGAAACAGCAGTGAAGGCTACCTATGGGCCAGATCTGGTTGGCAGGCTGCAGCCTGACGAAGTCCTCCGGATGGGGGATGAAACTTTTCTCATTTAAAGAAACTGGTCCAGATGACATGATTTAACCATTTTTGTTGACTTAAGAATTATTAGGTTTATTTTTCAGTTAGCTCAGCGGTCTTGTAATCTTGAGGCTGCAGGTTTGAGCTCAGGTTGCGTCAGGAAAGTCATTAAACATAAAACAATTGTCAGATCTGTAATGTAAGATCTGTCATGTAAGTCAGTTTCTTATGGTACCTCCTGCAGAAAGGAGCAGCTGAAAGAAACAAAACAACATTTTTCAGGGGAGAGCTTGTATTATTATTGTAACATTTCCATTACTATATTTTTTGGACTATAAGGCGCACCGAATTATAAGGTGCATTAAGCAAAACAAAACAGTCTGATAAGTCAAACTTTAGTCAACTCATTCATAATAACCACATAAAATCGGTTTGAGGTCAGTAAGCACAACCAGAATTAATACATAAGGCTCACTGTCGATTTTTGAGAAAATTAAAAGATCTTTAATTGCGCCTTATAGTCCGAAAAATACGGTACATTGAATTTAAATGCTTGTAAAATCACAGAATGAAGGCTAGATTGTCATAATTGGGTTAAAACACTAAAACAATCATAGCAATCACTGTTATTTTCCAACTATTTTAAAATTTTAATACATTTTCATCAAGTTCAAACAATATAAGATGACAAAAGCTGCATCCAAAACCAGTGAATCCACAGATGTGTGCTGACCTTGTGAGCAACAGTGTGAAAGTGATTACTCTTTGCTCTCTTTGCATGCTCTCTGAGAGTCTGTTAGTGGTGAGAAAAACAACTTGCTCTGCAGAAACACATATCCAGTCTTTAGTTTTTGCTTCTTAAATACAAAAAACAAATCTACAACGATGAGCCAAACTGTTACACAAGTCTACAGATGAAGCAAATACAGCGCGTGACAGCACACGGGAAATAAGCAAACATGAATTCCTCAGAATAAACTGCTAAAGAGTGACTTTAGTAAAAGCAAAAAAATTAATGTACTGTTTTGTACTTTTTTAAATAACAGAACCACCTGGAGCCAAATGCGTTTAAATATAAATCTCTTTTTTGTTTTAAATAAATTGTGATGGATAGAACAACTTTATTACACTGCTGACACATTGTTGACTCGATGACAGCGGTCCGTGACCTCAGCCTATCAGCTGTATCAGAGGAGAGATTACACTTGATCCCTCTGTCTAAACTGCAGTGTGCTTACTGCCAACAGAACACACACACTTTCACACACACAGACATGCATACAATGACATGTGGCCAGACAATTGTGTCTGCGGTGCTTCCAGTGTGTGTGTGGGGGACAATGAAACCATCCGCTGGACGCCTCCAGTGTAAAACACGCCACCAGCACCCAAAACTCAAAAACACATAAACAAATGCACGGACACGCACAGATTAATCCCCTTCTCTGCTTTAGTTGTTTTGGATTCCCTCCCCCTTGCATCCTGGCCTTCTCCCTCCCATCTTGATGTCTTTCTCCCCCTCCTCTTTGTAGCCTCGCTCCCCGCTGACCCGACCAGCTTGTGGCTGTCGTCGCTCCAGCCAGCAGCCGGTCCCTCTGTCCTTTAGCATTCCTGCAGCCCTCCTTTATCTGGAATGTTGCCGTGACCTCCAGCCTCGCAACATGGCACTTCTCTGGCGTCCACGCCCTGCGGATTAACCCAGGTGTCTGTTTGTGAAGACATGTATATTGAAGTGTTTTAATTAGTAGGTTTGCTCAGCCCCTTTTAATGTTTTAGGTACAGTCCAGTGATAAATACCACATTTTTTGGACTATAAGTCGTATCTTTTAGCATAAATTACCAAGTTCTGTGACTTAAACGTGGTTAATTTATGTTTTTTCCCCATATTTATAACTGGAGTTGCATTCGGGCCCAGAAAATCTGATCTGACCCGACCCCAGCCCACAGTCATAATTTCTGTACCCGACTCGACCCAATGAATTAACAGTTATTACAGGTCCGAACCTGGAAACCCCCCCAACATTTTACATTAGTTATTAATGGTCAGGGACGCGCAGCTGAATAAAAGCGGCATAAG